CATTATTTTCATTATTTTCATTATTTTCGTTAGTTTCATTCTTTATTTACTTACTTCATTATTTTCATTATTTTCATTATTTTCGTTAGTTTCATTCTTTATTTACTTACTTCATTATTTTCATTATTTTCATTATTTTCGTTAGTTTCATTCTTTATTTACTTACTTCATTATTTTCATTATTTTCATTATTTTCGTTAGTTTCATTCTTTATTTACTTACTTCATTATTTTCATTATTTTCATTATTTTCGTTAGTTTCATTCTTTATTTACTTACTTCATTATTTTCATTATTTTCATTATTTTCGTTAGTTTCATTCTTTATTTACTTACTTCATTATTTTCATTATTTTCATTATTTTCGTTAGTTTCATTCTTTATTTACTTACTTCATTATTTTCATTATTTTCATTATTTTCGTTAGTTTCATTCTTTATTTACTTACTTCATTATTTTCATTATTTTCATTATTTTCGTTAGTTTCATTCTTTATTTACTTACTTCATTATTTTCATTATTTTCATTATTTTCGTTAGTTTCATTCTTTATTTACTTACTTCATTATTTTCATTATTTTCATTATTTTCGTTAGTTTCATTCTTTATTTACTTACTTCATTATTTTCATTATTTTCATTATTTTCGTTAGTTTCATTCTTTATTTACTTACTTCATTATTTTCATTATTTTCATTATTTTCGTTAGTTTCATTCTTTATTTACTTACTTCATTATTTTCATTATTTTCATTATTTTCGTTAGTTTCATTCTTTATTTACTTACTTCATTATTTTCATTATTTTCATTATTTTCGTTAGTTTCATTCTTTATTTACTTACTTCATTATTTTCATTATTTTCATTATTTTCGTTAGTTTCATTCTTTATTTACTTACTTCATTATTTTCATTATTTTCATTATTTTCGTTAGTTTCATTCTTTATTTACTTACTTCATTATTTTCATTATTTTCATTATTTTCGTTAGTTTCATTCTTTATTTACTTACTTCATTATTTTCATTATTTTCATTATTTTCGTTAGTTTCATTCTTTATTTACTTACTTCATTATTTTCATTATTTTCATTATTTTCGTTAGTTTCATTCTTTATTTACTTACTTCATTATTTTCATTATTTTCATTATTTTCGTTAGTTTCATTCTTTATTTACTTACTTCATTATTTTCATTATTTTCATTAATCATCATTTACTTACTTCAATATTTCATTATTTTCATTATTTTCGTTAGTTTCATTCTTTATTTACTTACTTCATTATTTCATTTATGTTTCATGATTATGGCTCATTATTTTCTGCCTTTAATAATCCAATTGCCTTTTCAAGACGTTTATATTTATGGTCTGTCAATCAAAAAGTTACGGTCGGAATCGTGATGAATTTCTTATTCGTGAATTTTCATAGATCAATTTTAATTAGGTAGATGAACTTTATTGGATAATGAATGGAACTTTAATGAATTTTAAATGTCCTCTTATCTCCTTTTCCTGTCTTTTCTCTTATTCGTTTCTTTCTTTTTCTCCACTCCCTCTTGCCTTCTTCTTTCCTCTTCCCTCTTCCCCTCCTTTCCACCCCATTCGCTCCATTCCCCGCTTTCCTCAATCCTCTTCCCCCCTTCCTTTTACCCTTTCTCTCTTTCCCCATCCTCCTCCTCCTCCTCCTCTCCTTCCCCCATTCTCCCTCCTCCTCCTCCTCTCCTTCCCCCTTCCTCCCTCCTCCTCCTCTTCCTCCTCCTCCTCTCCCCCCCTTTCTCCCTCCCCCTCCCCTCCCCCCTCTCCGAGTCCCCTACCCATCCCTCATCATCCCCTCCTTCCCTACCTCTCCCTCCCTCCCTCCCCCATCCCTCTCCCTCCTCCCTCCCTCCTTCCTCCCTACCTCTCCCGCCTATCCCCCCTCCCTCCCTCCCCTCTCTCTCTCCCTCCCTTCCTCCCCCCCAGCAGCTTGTCAAGGGAGGCTGCGTGTAAAATCGCAAAGATGACTCTTGAGGGTTATTGATGAATAATTCATAATTCACCGAGTGATAATGGACGCGGTTGATGTTGATGATGATGAAGATAGAGAGAGTTTCCCCGTCCGCTAAAGTTTTAGGGTGATATTTGTGGGATGTAAATACTGTATTATGTTTGAGAATTCTTGTTGTTGTTTTTTTGTTTGTTTGTTTGTTTTTGTTGTTGTTGTAATTAGGTAAGAGGTATTTTAGACGAATGTGTGAAATTATTTTGTATGTACGTCCGTATACCATTTTTTTTTATTTTTCATTTTTTCTTCTTTTTTTTTACTTTTGAGAGTAAAAACGGAAGGAAAAACGACGTATCATATTTTTTTTCTTGATTATCTTACTCTTATTTCATTATTTTCATTATTCATCATTTACTTACTTCAATACTTCATTATTTTCATTATTTTCGTTAGTTTCATTCTTTATTTACTTACTTCATTATTTCATTAGTTTCATGATTATGGCTCATTATTTTCTGCCTTT